TTTTGTTCAGATAGAGCGGGAGGGAGAGAGAGGAAGAGAGAGAGAGAGAAACAGCGACATGAAAGGGACACATCGAGTGGCCGCCACCCACACGACCAACCAGGGCCAGGGACAAACTGCAACCGAGGTATGTGCCCTTAGCGGGAACCGAACCCGGGTCTCTCCGGACCGCAGGCCGACGCTCCAACTGCTGAGCCAAACCGGCCAGGGCTCCGGAGACATTTTGGATGGGGGTGGGGTGCTGATGGAACGTGGCGGGCGGAGCCCAGGGCTGCTGCTGAAGGTCCTCCAATGCGTAGGACAGTCCCCACGACCAAGAACGGCCGGCCCCAGGTGGCCACGCAGGGATCCAAGGTTGCTTTCCACCTCCTTCAGTGGTCCCGCTTTTCCAAAATGAATTATTCTGGGTCCCCCCCACCCAGGAAAAACGTTTAAAGAAAGGAAAACCTCTTTTCCTTTCAAGGGATGCAAACTTAGCATTTAAAAGAAAAAAAAAAAGAGTAAACAGGAAATATAGAGATAGATAATCAACACATTCAGCGAGTTCAAGTGACCCATACTGCCGGAGCAGCAGTCAAGTTCAGACTGGTCCGAGACGCAGCCGGCAGTGTTCCAGGCCCGGAGGAGGTCATGCGCTGTGCAGAGTCTCCTGGGCCAAACACGACTGTAGGATGAGGCGACACGGGAAACAAACGTGAGCAGGAGGTGTCCCCAGCGGAGGGTCTGGGAAGCCTTCAGGAGGATAGAGGGTGCTGAGTTGGGTCTTGAAGACCAGGTAAGATTCTGATGTGATCGGGGACAGCCCGGCGAGTTCGCGTTCCCCCCTCCCCTGTCCATTTTAAAAGTCGGGCCGTCTTAGGCTAACCGACTTCTCTTCGTCTGTGTCTTCACTTGTACATTTGGTGCAATGACGAATGAATAGCGGCTCCTTAATGGGGTCACTGCAGGTTCATCCGAGGTAAAATGATGACTGAGGACGTGTTCATTTTTTAAAAATTTATTATTATTTTATTTTATTTTTGTTACATATGTTTCTCCTTTTTTACCCCATTGACACCCTCCTCCCCATCCCCCCCAACCCTGTCCCCGGCTTTGTTGTCCATGTCCATCGGTTATGCGTACATGCATGTAAGTTCTGTGGTCTCTCTCTCCCCTCCCCCCACCGCCCCCTCTTCTGAGAGCTGTCAGTCTGTACCTGAGGACGTGTTCTTAGGACGAACCCCAGCAGGTGGGGCTGTGAGGATGGACTCAGTGGTGCCCGCCTGCCCAGCACAGTGCCTGGCGCCTGCGGTCATCGGTCCGCCTAGCTGGGTTCTCCATAGGAGAGAGGAGGAGAAAGGGCACTCCTGGCCAAGGGCCAGGGCAGCCTGCAGCTGGACAGATGCCAGGTGTTTGGGGACATGGCTGGAACCTGGCACTTGGCCGCACGTGGGGCCTTTTTGAAAATGTAGATAGATGCTCACGACTCCCCCGGAAGCAGAATCTGCATTTGATGAGATTCCCAGGTGATGTGTGTGGGGTTAAAGTTCAAGAGGCAGGGGTGAGGGGTGCCGTGCAGCTAACAGTGGGGATACCCTGGCCGGGCTGGCTCAGCGTTGGAGCATCGGCCCCCGGAGCAGAGTCGCAGGTTTGATTTTGGTCAAGGGCATGTATCTCCGTTGAGGTTTGGTCCCTGGCCCTGGTCAGGGTTGTGCAGGAGGCAACCAATCGATGTGTCTCTCCCACATCGATGTTTCTCTCTCTCTCTCCTTCATTCTATCTGAAGATAAATGGAAAAGTATCCTCGGGTGAGGATTAAAAACAAAATAGTGGGGACAGAGTAGGGAGGGTCAGGCTCACCCTGCAAGGAACTGAGACATGACAGGTAGGTGGGTATACAGACAGATGAAATTAAAAAAAATGTTTTTTTCCTTTATTGATTTCAGAGAGAGAGGAAGGGAGAGAGAGATAGAAACATCAATGAGAGAGAACATCGATTGGCCGCCTCCTGCATGCTCCCCACTGGGGATCGGGCCACAAGCTGGGCATGTGTCCTGACCGGGCATCGAACCGGAGACCTCCTGGTGCAGGGTTGACGCTCAACCACCGAGCCACATCGGCCGGACCAGACAGATTAAATTTTTTTTTTTTTTTTTTTAATCCTCACTCGAGGATATTTTTTCCATTTTTTGTACAGATAGAGTGGGAGGGAGAGAGAGGAAGGGAGAGAGAGTGAGAAACATCGACGTGAAGGGACACATCGAGTGGCTGCCACCCGCACAACCAACCAGGGCCGGGGACAAACTGCAACCGAAGTATGTGCCCTTAGCGGGAACCGAACCCAGGTCTCTCCGGACCGCAGGCTGACGCTCTAACCGCTGAGCCAAACTGGCCAGGGCAGACAGATTAAATTTTAACAAGCAGTTCATAAGTCAACATATATTCACACGACCTTTGGCGAGTGGAGGGAGGCAGTGCGGATTTTATTTTATTTTATTTTTTTTTTATCCTCACCCGAGGACATTTTTCCATTTTTTGTTCAGATAGAGTGGGAGGGAGAGAGAGGAACAGAGAGAGAGAGAGAAACATCGATGTGAAAGGAACACATCGAGTGGCTGCCACCCGCACGACCGACCAGGGCCGGGGACAAACTGCAACCGAGGTACGCGCCCTTAGCGGGAACCGAACCCGGGTCTCTCAGGACCGCAGGCCGACGCTCTAACCGCTGAGCCAAACCGGCCAGGGCGGCAGTGCGGATTTTAAGTGGGGGGCTGGTCCAAGCAGTCTTGGTCGCTGGAAAGGTCTCCGGGCACTAATGCTTGGTTGGTAGAGAACTTGGAGGTGGGGGACCCAGCCAATGCCCTGCAGTGGAGGGGGGATCATGTAGAGGTGTGGGTGACAGGGTCAAAGGGGAGTCCTGGGGTGGCCTTCCTGGCTCCCAGCCTTGTCACATCTGCCTCTTGTCCCAGGCTCTGGTCCTCGCGTTCTGCCTCCTCCATGTCCTTTGACTGGGCACGGAGTCTCTCCAGAGCCACGGGAGCGAGCCCCTAACACGCAGCGTGAAGCGTGATGCGAGAAGCCGATGTTGGCCCTGTGCCGAGGGTCACGCCCCCGCCGCTACCCGGCCACCTCGCAGGGGGTGTTTGAGGGAGCCGGGGCTCCCCGGGGGCGTGTAAACAGCTGCCGTCCGGGCAGACGGTCACTGGCAGAAAGAGCCCGTCTCCGGTTAGTTCCCTGATGTGAACGGGGAACGAAAGAACGGTTCCGAGTAGGACTTTGGGGATGTTGCCCAGCGTGTACCGCTTGTCTCCGGTCACGACCGGACCCCACCGATGCGGCTCGTGGTCCTGGCTCCCGGGCGGCCGAGATGGTCGAGTTAGGTCCCCGAAGGTCCTCTGAAGTGTGAAACTGTGAACAAGGGTGGGTGAGGGTTGACCAGTTAGCTGGGGGATACCCCTCACTAGAAACCGTGGGGTGATTGGCCTCTTTGAAGCCCGAGCACCGCCCACACGCTGGTCCCCCAGCGGACATCCCCTTCTGGAAGGACTGTCTCAGTCCTGCATGAGTAGGGTCCTGTCCACGATTTGCTGAGAGCACCATGAGGGTGAGACGGGGGCTTGGCCTCCGAGGACAACACAGGACGACAGCTGCCCGCTGGGGCAGGCCTGACACCCTCTCAAATCAGGCGCTGCCGGCCGGCCCCGGCCGGCGCCCCCTGGTGGCCACAGAGCGATGCGCAGCCACCTGCCTGCTCACTGGCTCCTGTGCTGCAGCCTTGGGCACAGTCACCAGGCAGCGACCACCCGGACTCATCGGGGTTTTGCTCATTGTCCTAATAGGCTGATCAATAATCATCTGTGGAGCCCAGTGGCTGAGAGGCCCCTTCCTGGGAAGCTTGATGGGCTTGGGAAGCTGGGTGCTTCCAGGCCAGCCAGTGGGGCTGAGGCTCCAGGGGTGAGCTGTGCACATGGACTATGTGAGTGTGCACGGGAGTACATGTGTGTGTGCATGAGTGTGCAGATGTATGTGTACGAGTGGTGTGTGAATGTATCTAATGCACCTGGCAGTGTGTTTGAGTATGAGCAAGCGTGTGAGTCTGTGCCAGTGTCTGTGTGTGTGAGTGCACACTGTGGCCTGTGTGTGTGGGAGAGCAAGTGTGCTGAGTGTGTGAATGTGTTGCACGTGTGTGAGAGCATGCATGTTGCATGCGTGAGAGCACACGGGTATGAAACAGTGCATGTGTTGCATGTGAGTGTGACAACACATATGTGTTGCATGTGTAAGAGCGCATGTGTGCTGTGTGTTGTGGGACAGCACGTGGGTGTGAGACAGCGTGTGTGTTGCATGTGTGAATGTGAGATGGCGTGTGTGTTGCATGGGTGAGATAGCGTGTGTGTTCCATGTATGAGTGCGAGACAGCGTGTGTGTTGCATGTGTGACTGTGAGGCGGCGTGTGTGTTGCATGTGAGAGATAGCATGTGTGTTCCATGTATGAGTGTGAGACAGCATGTGTGTTGCATGTGTGAATGTGAGGCGGTGTGTGTGTTGCATGTGAGAGATAGTGTGTGTGTTCCGTGTATGTGTGAGACAGCATGTGTGTTCTGTGTATGTGTGAGACAGCATGTGTGTTGCATGTGTGAATGTGAGGCAGCATGTGTGTTGCATGTGAGGGATAGTGTGTGTGTTCCGTGTATGTGTGAGACAGCGTGTGTGTTGCATGTGTGAATGTGAGATGGCATGTGTGTTGCATTTGAGAGATAGCGTGTGTGTTCCGTGTATGAGTGTGAGACAGCGTGTGTGTTCCGTGTATGTGTGAGACAGCGTGTGTGTTGCATGTGTGAATGTGAGACGGCGTGTGTGTTGCATGTGTGAGACGGCGTGTGTGTTGCATGTGTGAATGTGAGGCGGCGTGTGTGGTCGCCGTCCCAGCAGGCGCCACGGCTGGGACACTTCCCCGTCTGTGGGTCTGGGAACACCGTGCTTCTCGGCTGTCGCCGCACCTCCCTGATGTCTCCCCGCAGGGCACTGCGCGACGATGGGCGCCCTCGGACCGGGACTCGTGCTGGCCTGCTGCCTGCTGCTGGCCTCCGCCGGGGGTCCGGCGCTGGGCCGCGTGCCGCCTGGCCAGCAGGAACCTCCGCAGCAGGAGGGGACCAAGGAGCCGCTGCTGGGCCACACGGAGAGGTGAGGCCGCAGGTGCGGGTGCGGAGCTCTGGGGTGGCCGGGCTGAACGTGGGGGTTCTGGCAGCCAGCGGGCCTGTCCCCCGTCCATGCAAAGGAGCCGTATGGAGGCTGAGGGCCTCCCTGTGGGAGCGGGGCTGGAGGGCAGATGAGCCTATTCTCCTTCCAGTGACCCGGCCTGTCCCAAGCCCGAAGGAAGTGGATCTGGGTCCTTCCTTCCTCCTTCCTTCCTTCCTCCCTCCCTCCCTCCTTCCCTCCTTCCTTCCCTTCCTTCCTTCCTTCCTTCCTTCCTTCCTTCCTTCCTTCCTTCCTCCCTCCCTCCTTCCTTCCTTCCTTCCTTCCTTCCTTCCTTCCTTCCTATTTTTATCCTCACCCGAGGACTTTTTTTTGCATTTATCTTCAGATAGAGCGGGAGGGAGAGAGGGAACAAGAGAGAGAGAGAAACACTGATGCGAGAGAGACACAGCGACTGGCTGCCACCCACACGACCCCAACCGGGGTCAGGGACAAACTGCCAACTAAGGTACATGCCCTTAGCGGGAACCGAACCCGTGTCTTTAACTGAAGAGCAGAACCCCGGCCCAGCCCTCGGGTCTCTTCTCGCTTTGTCCTTTGAGAAGACCTGCTGGGGTTCTAGGAAGCGGGAGCAGGACGATGCCGGACCCAGCGCTGGTCCCCAGGGCCCTGACCACTGGGTCACCGTTGGATCAAGTTGCAGGATGTGGGGCGGGGGAGGGGGATTACTGACACCGGGCAGCAGAAGCGGTGGTTTTCCTGGAAAAGTTACGAATTTCTTCCAAATGGCACTGTTCCATGTGCATGACCCTCAGTGACGCAGACGCCAGGCTGCTTGGGGTATTTTGTAGGGCTGCACAGAGTGCTCAGGATGGCCGCGAACCGGGCATTCATCGACGTGAGTGAGGGCTAGGTACCCAGGACAGCCCGACGCGGCTGCCAGCTTGTTCGTTATTTTGAGCACAGGGCTGACTCGATACCCAAGGCTTCGAACTGCATTTAGAGAACATAGGATTTAGGGCAAAGTAACATCCCTCCCCTCCTCCTCTCTGCCCCCTTTCTTTCCCCTCCCCTCCCCTCCCCTCCCCTCCCCTTCCCTCCCCTCCTCCCTCCCTCCCTCCTTCCTTCCTTCCTTCCTTCCTTCCTTCCTTCCTTCCTTCCTTCCTTCCTTCCTATTTTTATCCTCACCCGAGGACTTTTTTTTTTCATTTATCTTCAGATAGAGCGGGAGGGAGAGAGGGAACAAGAGAGAGAGAGAAACACTGATGCGAGAGAGACACAGCGACTGGCTGCCACCCACACGACCCCAACCGGGGTCAGGGACAAACTGCCAACTAAGGTACATGCCTTTAGCGGGAACCAAACCCGGGTCTCTCTGGACCACAGGCTGACGCTCTAACCGCTGAGCCAAACAGGCCAAGGCTGCTTCTTTTTTTTTTAAAAAAAATGTCTGTCTATATTGATTCTAGAGAGAGAGAGAAACATGGATGAGCGAGAACATCGACTGGCCGCCTCCTGCCTGCCCCCCACTGGGGATCGGGCCCACAACCTGGGCATGTGCCCTGACCGGGAATCAAACCGATGACCTCTTGGTGTAGGGGTCCACGCTCTACCACTGAGCCACATGGGCTGGGCTCCTTCTTTTCATTCAATGAACACTGAGTGCCTATTGCTGGTCCGGCCCTTGGCTGGGCACTGGGGATAAACACGAATGACACAGTCCCTGACCTCCGGGAACCCTGAGGTTGTGGGAGGCAAACACACATGACCTAATGCAGTGACTGAGGCCCATGAGGCTGGGTGTGGGTGTGGGGAGGACGAAGCAGGGAGTGACTGTGTTTTGGACATGTGGGAGCCTCCAGGTGCAGAAGGAGGGCAGTGTGGACAGTGTCCCTGCAGCTAGGACAGTGTCCAGGAAGGCGTGGCTGTGTGGTACCTGGCGCCCGGCAGCGCGAGGGGTCTGGGTTCTGGGTGGAAGGTGGGTGCAGGGTGGAGGCTGGGTGGAGAGAGGAGTCTGGCGGGAAGGGTCTGTTCTGACGTCACCTACAGGGAGTCATGGAGAGGTTTAGATTTGCCGGAGTTCTAGAAAGAACTGAGGGTGGATTGGCATGGGGGTGGGAGAGACGGGTTCCAGGAGAGAAGGCACAAAGGTGATGGCCACCAGAGATGAGGGGGCCCAGGGCCCCGGTTCTGAAGGCACTTGGGGTGGGGTGGGGCTGGGTCCTCAGACCTCCGTGATCCTGACGGTAGTGGCGAGGCCAGAGAAGCCTCTAGAATAAGGCAGAGAGTTCCATTCCGGGGCACTGAGTGGTGACACTAGGAGGAGGGTTTGGAGAGAGAAGGTTCTGGAGGCGAAGCGTCAGCGATAGGACGCCAGTTTGAGACGCTTCGCAGTCTGGGGCGTGTTGAACCTCTGGATGGAGGTACTTGGCAAGGGTTAGGGGCGGGGGTCCACCTGGGAGGCCAGGGCTTGCGGGTGGCCAGACTTAGCGCACATAGGTCCAGGTCCTGCCCTGTCTAGGGTCTGAAAGCAGGAGGGGAGTTACGTAAGCAGCTGGCCCATTGAGAGGGACTGTCAGCCCCTGGAGCCTGGGCGCAGAGCTGCCTGCCAGAGTGCAGTGCAGTGCAGTGTGTGGCCACAAGGTGGCAGCATGGGGCTGTCACCATCCACCCAGCCCAGGAGCCTGGTCTTCAAAGGTCAGGTTGTAAACATAGAGTCTTCAGCTGCTGGGGCTCAAAGGGACCCCAAAGAGCTAGTCGAACCCTCTCATCTACAGCGAGTCGGCTTGATATGGCATCTTCTAGAATCACAGATGCACAAAGGGGATGGCCATCAGGGTGTCGTTCCACGGTGTGTGAATACCTCCTCCGTCGGGGGCAGGTTCTCCGGAGCGGCCTCTGTCGGGCAGACCTCAAGTTATTGCTGCTTTGTGATCATTGATTCCATGACTGTTGCTTGCTACTAAGAGAGGGCAGGGGGCGCTCTCGAAAATCCCACGGAGGGTCCCGGAATCCACCAGGAGGCAGAGGGTGTGTGCTGGGGGAAAGGTCTCGTGTCCAGGCGAGCGCGGGACGCCAGACCCGCCGGCGGAAGAGCGGGTCCCGGCCCTGACAGCTCACGGCTCGCACTGTGATGTCTCCATTCCCTTAGGGTGGAAGAAAAGCATGACAAGTACAGCCCCAGGCAGGATGAGGGACGCCCTGCTTCTCGGTGCTATCGCTGCTGCGACTCGGCTGGCCCCGTGTACCCCGCCGTCCCGGTGCCACAGATCAATATCACCATCCTGAAAGGTCAGGGTGCCGCAGCCTTCCCTTGGGGGAGGGGGCTGCTCTGTCCAGATGGGGGTGCTGGATGGCTCCCTTGGGGCTCAGAGTAGAGGCAGGCTGTCCTCAGAGGGGGGAAGAGGGGATGCCATTTCTGGGGCGCATGGCTCCTGTCCAAGAGGAGAGATTGACCTCCCCCAGCTGCATGCATGTGACAGGCCTCTGGGATCTGTGTTTTGAGGCTTGGTGCCCCCCCGGTCCCCAACCAGCCGTCCACATGCCCAGGTCCTGCACGCAGCAGATAACCCTGGGAAGACCCGCGGCCGGGTCCCTGGGCCACGCCAACATCTGCAGTCCATCTGCTCTCTGAGCCACGGCCTGGACACAGCGCCTGTCGCCTTCGGACAAGCCCCCGTCTCCCTTGCCTTTGCCAGGGTTTTCCAGAAGGAAAGAGAGATGATTGCTCCCCGTGAGGAGAGCAACCCTGGGGTTCAGTCTGCCTGCCTGACGTGACGTCTTTTCTGTCCCTTTTAGGGGAGAAGGGTGACCGGGGATACCGGGGCCTGCAGGGGAAATACGGCAAAACAGGCGAAGCAGGCGCCCGGGGCCATGTGGGGCCCAAGGGGCAGAAGGGCTCCATGGGGGCGCCCGGGGACCGCTGCAAGAACCAGTACGCGGCCTTCTCGGTGGGCCGGAAGAAGCCCCTGCACAGCAACGAGTACTACCAGACGGTGGTCTTCGACACGGAGTTCGTGAACCTCTACGGCCACTTCAACATGTTCACGGGCAGGTTCTACTGCTACGTGCCCGGCGTCTACTTCTTCAGCCTGAACGTGCACACCTGGAACCAGAAGGAGACCTACCTGCACGTCATGAGGAATGACGAGGAGGTGGTGATCCTGTACGCCCAGGTGAGCGACCGCAGCATCATGCAGAGCCAGAGCCTGCTGCTGCACCTGCGGGACCAGGACGAGGTGTGGGTGCGCCTCTTCAAGGGCGAGCGGGAGAACGCCATCTTCAGCGACGAGTTTGACATCTACATCACCTTCAGCGGCTACCTGGTCAAGCCCGCCTCCGAGCCCTAGCCGGCCCCCCGCCCACCCGCGCCCGCCCCGCGGGGACCCCGGGGTCCGGCACCAGGCCGACTTCGTCAGCTCTTCCCCCAGCCGGGTCCCCCCGTCCCCGTGTCCCCAGCTTTGGCATCCACACGAGGCCCTTCACAGGAACGGGAGGGAGACACAGCGTGGGGTCCCTGGCCTTGCTGTCTCCGGAGACGAAATCACGGGGGGCAGGCGCCTGGGAGAACGGCTGGGACCTCCAGCTCCCCTCTGCGGACATATCCTTACGTGACCCTCACACAGGCCCCTGCGACGCCACACCGTGTCCCAGAATAGGTCATCTGTCCTCCCCCGCTCAAAATAATTCTGCAAATTCCGAAGCTGAGCCGAGCACAGGACCCGCAGGGACAGGAAGGTGCTGTCCCCCCAGGGCAGCCTGTCCCTCCGCGGTTGCCAACAGGAGACAGGAAGTGGGCCACATCTGGCTTCATTCTTTCAGGCCACATGAACCTTCTCATGGGACATCCTGTGGACAACCCTGCAGCCTTGCCCGAGGGTTCAGGAGTCTGTCTGAGCCACAGCAGTGAGGGGGTGGGCTGGGGAAGCAAAGGTCAGCTCCCCGGCCTTGGTCTCTGTGCCGGGAAAGGCCCCAGACAGCAGCCGGGGGCCCCGGGCCACCGACCTAGATGTTTCTATGAGCGAAGCGCAGTAGCACCGAGGTGGAGCCGCACATCTGGCTGTTTCTGCCCCCCACCCCCCACCCCGCAGCCCTGGGCAGGGCCTCCATGCCCGTCACTCTGGTGCCACCTCTGTCCCTCTCAGCACGTCACCCACGGAAGGCAGCAGGCCTTGGGGTGGCGGCAGCCATCCCGGTAGAGAGGCTCCCTGTGAAGCCCTGGCCGCCGCCTCAGACCCCCGTTTCTCAGAGCGTTCGGCCCCACGCCCTCCCCGGGCTCCGGAGGAGAGAGCGGGCAGGGCTGGAAGGTCCCTTGGCCGGTCTGAGTGACAGCTCCCGCTGGCCTCAGTCCCCGACCAGGGGAAGGCGTGCCCCAGCCTCTGAGGGGGGTGAGGGGCCGGGGGTGGCGGCTGCTGGGATTGGTGCTCTGGCCTCGGCCCACTTTGGCCCGGCAGCCCTTCCTGCCTCCGGTTGACGCCCAAGCAGGGGTCGCTCTCCTACCTGCGCAGGTCCCTCCGCCCCTCCGGGAGCCCTCCCTGGTGACCTCCGCTCTTGACCAAGGCCTCTGCCCTCCCTGAGCCTGGCCAAGGGCCTGGGCACACGTCCTCTGAAGGCGGTCTGCTGGTCAGACACTCGGACCCGTGCTTCCATGGGCGTGCTACTGAGCAGGCGCCGGCTGCTGCTTCCTGCTGTCCCGCCGCTCTTTCGACATTAAACGTGGGTGTGTTTCAGCATCGTGGCCTCCGCGTCTGGTCATTGAACCTTCCTCTCGTCGCCCCCACGCCCGGCGACTGCCTGTGGGAGGCCCGGGTGCCCTCACGTGGCACCTGGGGACATCGGAAGCCAGCGGGCCCTGGCTGGGCCCTGACTGCCTCTTTCCTCGGGGGACATGTGTCATAGGCCCGGCCGGACTCGGCCCCGGGACGCCCTGTGCTTGGAGGAGCCTTGGAGTGGCCGGCAGGACTCGGGCGTGGACAGCTGCGTTTGTTTCCTTGGCTGCCATGGCGACCCAGCTGGGGCCTGATGGCCTCAAACCACAGAGACCAGGTCTCTCCCGGGTCTGGACACCGAGAGTCCAAAGTCAGGGGTGGGCAGAGCCGGCCCCCGGCCCCAGGTCTGCAGGAAGGGCCCCTCCTTCTTCCAGGTCCCGGTGGCCCGGGGTGCCCTTGGTTTGTGATGGCCTCACTCGGGTCTCTGCCTGTGTCTGTCTTCACACGGCCTCCTCCCTGCGTCTCTTAAACCCCCTCTCTTTTCTTCGAAGGACACCAGTCCCCCGATGTAGGGCCCACGCTAATGCAGGATGACCTCTCGAGTCCCGAGTTCATCATGTCTGTAAGGACCTTACTTCCAAATGAGGTCACCTGCCCAGGGCCAGGGGCCGGGACTTGGCGCGTCTCTGGGGGAGGGCCCCATCCACCCACTGCACACCTGTGGGCTCAGCCCCGCCCGCTCACGCCGGCTGAGAGCAGGTGTCCCTTCTCTCCTTCACTCGCCCACTGGGTTCGCGGCCAGGCCCTGATCCGCTGCCAGTGGGCCATTCAGAAGCTGCCTGCCCCTTCTGGGGCCAGCAGGCTGGCACGCAGCGGGCGTCCTTCCTGCGCCGGTCCTGGGGTGAGCCCGTGCGGCACGCTCGGCCTCGAGCGGGGGCTGGGCCCTGCAATCCTGCTGCTGTCGGACACAGAGCAGATCCTGCCCCACAGAGCTGGGCCACTGGGCAGGGACTGCCTTCCACGTAGCTGGGAGCAGGGCTGAGGTGTGTGGAGAGGGGGAGTCACCCAGGTGCCCGCCGCCAGCCCGCTCTCCAGGGACAGCCGCGGGGAGCGTGTAAGCCCTGTCCCTCTGCCGGCCCGGCCAACATGGAGGGAGGCAGCATTCGCTCCCGCCCCACCCCCGCCCCTTTGATGTCCCCAGTCCGAGCTGTCCCCACACCCGTCTGCCCAGCCCTGCCTTCCACTCGCTTCCCACTGGCATTTCCTCTGCTCACTCTCTCTGAGCATCCTCTCTGCCAGGCTCTGGGGCGTGAGGACAAATACGGTACGGGACTGGCCTTCCAGGGGGCTTTTCTGGGGTGTTACTGCGGGGTGACACGGAGCCAGCCTTCTCGGGAGAACCGGACTCACACAGTTTCTCCCTCCCCATGTAGTCTCCTGCCCACGGCTCCTTCCCCAGGGCCTGACCCCTGCTGGGAAGGGATCAGCCGACCATCCCGGAAGGGACCTCACACGCTCAGGTGCAATCCACACGTAAGCATTTCTGCAGAAGGACTGGGGCCGGCTGGCGACCCAGCCGAAGGGAAGGACGGGCCTGACTTCTGGAGTCTGTGCAGCCGACGGGGGGCCGCGAGGAGGACACACTGTCCTCTGGGGCTGGCGTGTGTGTCCGTGTGTGTTTGCGCCGGAGGGTGACGTCCTGCAGGGCTCGCATGGGGACACGTGGCCGGATGACACGCTCCTTTCCCTGGGCCACGGCAACTGGGATACCGTGAGGCCGTCTTGCCCAGATCACACGACCAGAGGTGACAGAAAGTAATGATCGAAGCGATGCCTCCACACTCAGAGGGCGGAGTCGGACCCGTCTCGCACCACGTGCGGAGAGGGACCCAGAGCTCTAAAATCCACGGAGAAAAGACTGTGTGTCACCCATTACGACCTTGTACCCGGCGACGTTTCCTGCATCCACCCCACAAGCACAAACAACAGGAGAAACAGAGAAATGGGACGCGTCAAAATGCAGAATTCGGTGCTTCAACAGACGTCCGGCCGGTGTGGCTCAGTGGCTGAGCGTCGACCCTGCACCAAGAGATCGCCGGTTCAATTCCTGGTCAGGGCACATGCCCAGGTTGGGGGCCCGATCCCCAGTGGGGGGTATGCAGGGGGCGGCTAATCAATGTTCTCTCTCATCGATGTTTCTCTCTCTCTCTCCCTCTCTCTCTAAAACCAATTAAGAAAAAAAAATTTAAGAAAGCGAAAAGCCAACTCCGAATAGGAGAAAATATTTAAATCAGAGATCTGATAAGGGGTTACATCTAAAATACATACAGAGCTCAGAAACAGAGAGACAACCCAATTAAAATGGACCATGGGCCTCACTAGACATTTCTGCACAGAAGAGGCACCAGCGGCCGGAAGGTACATGAGAAGACGCTCAGCCTCCTGAGTGAGTCACCAGGGAAACGCAGTCGAAACCCGGGTGAGATGCAACTTCACCCCCTGGGAGGGCTGGTGTCAAAGTGCCAGGTGTTGGCGAGGGCGCGGGGAAATGGGTGCTCCCGGCACTGCCGTGGAAACCAGTCTGGCACGTCCTCGAGATGTTAACCGGAGAGCTACCGCTGCCCCGGCCAGTCCACCTCTAGGGCGTGGACCCTGGAGAAACCACAGGCCCACACAGACACCCGCAGGTGGGTGCTCACAGCCCCTCCACTCACAGCCAACAAAAGTGGGAATAGCCCCCCGTCCCCCAGCCGATGGACGGACACACAGATGTGGCCTCTCCATCCGTGGTTTTCAGCAACCGAAAGGGGAGAAACGCTGATACCTGCCGCAACCCAGACAAGCCCGCAAAACATGACGTCAGGAGGAGGAGCCGGTCACCAAGACCAGGGCTGTGACTCACAGGAAGTGCTGTCCACCCCGAGGACCCACAGACACAGAGCGGATCGGCTGGGGTGGGGAACTGGGAAGAATGGGGCGTGACCCCTGACAGGTACCAGGCTCCTCTCCGGAGTGAGTGTGACGTGGTGGCGTAACTGGGGACAGACGACAGGCCACTGCGCCGCACAGTCCAGCTGGGGCACGTGCACTTCATCTCAGTAAAGCAGTCATAAGGAAACAAGTAACAGGCGAAGCCCTCGGCACCCCCCTCACGCCACCTGCTCCTGCTGCCACCGTGTCCGGGCAGAGCAGACGGGGCGCCCTCCGCCAGCCTCCGACACCCTCCGACACCCTCCCACCTGTCTCTGTCTCCACCTCCAGAACCCCGTGCGGTCCTGGCCCGGGGACCAGTCGTCACCTTATTGCCAGCAACCACGAGCTCCCGGATCCGTCAGCACGACCCCACCCCGGCGGAGCCCGTCGGCCTCCCGGCAGCCTGCACCGCGGCCGCCCACACCCACCTGTCTCGCTTCCACCGGGGCTGGGGCTCCGGAGGGCGGGGGCCCGAGATCTGGCTGAGGACAGGCCGAGGGCGCCTGTGTCTCTCGAAGACTCACAACCGAAGGGGGCCGCGCCCTCTTCCAGGACCCGCAGAGGCCTCCCCACGACCACGGGGTGACACTCAGGGTGTCGTGGGAGCTGCCGTGGTCCTGGGGAGGACCTCGAACCAGGCCGAGTGCTGCCCGCACAGACGCCCATCTCTGACTTCCTGGGAACCACTTCCTGGGCGGGGTGAACCTCATCAAGAAGACGGCGGCACCTGCCGCCTCCGCAGGCTGGGCCGGGCCAGTGTCTCTTCCAAAGACTCTTCCTCATGCACCACCCGGAACCTTCGAGGGCCCCTCCGCGTGCCCCGGCGCCCGGCCTCCGCCTTCGAGGGCCCCTCCGCGTGCCCCGGCGCCCGGCCTCCGCCTTCGAGGGCCCCTCCGCGTGCCCCTGGCGCCCGGCCTCCGCCTTCGAGGGCCCCTCCGCGTGCCCCGGCGCCCGGCCTCCGCCTTCGAGGGCCCCTCCGCGTGCCCCGGCGCCTAGCCTCCGCCTTCGAGGGCCCCTCCGCGTGCCCCGGCGCCCGGCCTCTGCCTGGGCCTCTCCCTGCTGCTGCTGGGCAGCCTGTTCACCTCCCTGGAGCCCTCTCCCAAGCTGTGGACCAAATGGCAACGGTAAAGCCTTCTGCAGAAAAAAACAGCCACCGGCCACACACAGGCACGCCAGCCCTCGCGTGTCTTTCTCTGTTGAGGTCCGGGAAGGTCGGGGGCTCCAGAAGCGTGACCCCTGGAGCCGGTCTTATTGTCCTGGGCTTGGCTGAGGCCGGGGCCGGGCGTGAGGAGAGACGGCAGGATAGGGTCAGCTCCCGAGGCCGGACGAGCGTCTGGAGCCGCTGACGGGCGAGGTCACTCCCAGGGCGTCAAGGGAAGCATTCCAGAGCAACAGCACACGGAGGACCGTGCCCTCCTCTCCGAAGGCCTGTGCAGCAGTAGGGCCGGGAACGGCCGAGTCCCCTCGAATGCCCCGACCAAGCCTGCCCTGGGGACCGGCGCCCCCTCGGGCTGCACGGAGCAGCCGCTTCTCATTCTGTGCTGGCCGGGCCAGGACAGGGCCGTCCGCGGCGGAGGTGTTCACAAATGGACCCAGAAGGCCATTACTCTGGATCGTTGGGAAGCCTCCCTTCTGAAGATGAAGAAATGCTCCAACTGGTCAACGGAGGCGGCCCCTGAGCCAGTGGTCCACGCGGCCCGAGGGCCTGCCTCCCGGAAACACGCAGCGTGTGGGGAAAACGCCCCGCGTTGTCACAACCCGGCGTCGGAGGACCGTGCGGCCGCATCTGAGAGGGGCATGGCAGGCCCCGAGGCGGACAGCCAGACACACAACCACGGGGAACCGGGAGGAAGCTCTGGAGGTGAGCACCAGGGGACTGGGGGGGGGGGGCAGGCACCGGTGTGTCACACGGAGCTGAAGGGACAGCGAGGGAGAAGACAAACCGGGGAGACGTCCAGAAAGCGCAGGAAGAGACGAGGGTGGAAATCGGATGGAGGGGCACCCGTGCGGGGGCCTCAGTGGGGAGGGGTC